TTCTTTGTCACACACAAAGCAACTTGAGAAGTTGGGCTTTTTCACACTGAACCGCCTTATAGTGGAAATTAATATGATCTTGATGCAAAGAATAATAAGAATTGATTATGAACATAATATATCTTTGCTGTTTGTTTGATTTAGATCAGAACAACTCAGCGGACATAACAGGCATGTACGAAAGCTAATAACGAGCAAAATACTCTTGATATTCAGGTTTTCAAGGCGAGTCATCAAACATTGGAACCTGTTACTTGACGCTATGGTGTCGGGATCATCAACACTTGAAACTCAGAAGCCTGCAAGAGAAGGACTAATACAGGACGTGGGCCTTCTGTCCTTAGAGCAATAGTCTGAAACCGAACCAGATATCTAGATTATTTTTCCTCGTGAGTTTCCTTCGAGGTGAATGAGTCGTCAAAATAAATAATTGTATATGTTGTTGACAACAATGCACACTTTATTAGTTTAACAGGACATACCGTAGCTAAAAGCGCTTGGTCAGGCATCCTCAACATATCATCATTTGGGAGGACATGCCATAAACCCCGCACCACAGCCATTCAGCTCAGCCCAATTACTCCGCAACCCATTGACAATGTTCCAAACATATATTCGACGCCCTCGCTCCTGACCTCTGGTTTCAATGGATTAAGGATTTCCAATTAGGAGTGTATAACGGACAACGGTCTCTTCAATCACGGAATATAAGTGGCATTTTCAATCACATCGGATGTGAGAACCGACCTAGATTGGTAGGACAACAGTAGGAAAGACCAAAAACGCACCATGATGTCAGCTGACGTCAGTCAACAATCTTTTACAAAGGACATAGTTACAGTGATCCTGCCAGGGGACACTTCACAAAGTCAAATCTTTCAGCAGCAACAACCAAATTGTGGACTAATATGTGCCTGAAAATTCGAAGACAGGTGACTCTGTTAATGAAGATCAAATGATCAGACAGACCAACAAACGTCTCTATGGCAGTTGGTTAGTAATAAGGCGTAATCCAGAAGTCAGTAAAATGTGCTATCCACCGAAATCACGGATGACGAATTACGGAGGTGACAGAGGTGAGGCTTCAATGACCTTGCTACAATGTACTTGATAGGAGTGTACTGGAACTTCTCAGTTACTAGCGTAACAAGTCTTCCCTTGGAATTCGAAGTTTTCTCTTTATTATTGTTCACATTGCAATCAGTCAACCTGCTGATTGGAAATTTGATGGCTGCTAGTATCCAGAAACCCTACTGCTCTGAGGCAAACTCACTCACCCAACTACAAGATATGTAAATCCATAAACAAATGCCAAAGTAACTAGAATTAGTGCAGTAAAGTGGCTAGACTACTACTCAATGGACACAACCAAATACCCGGAACTATACTTTCCTAACGAGAAGCGAGCAAGAAAATATAGTCCGTTAATATTAGTTTGTGACAAAGACACTGAATGATGCATTTTTGGCGGTGAGTTTGAAGTGATCTGAAATACCAAACGATAAACTATGGGCCCGTTCCTTGTTGCAACACCATACATACGCCGTTTATATATTACTATATCATTTTTGTGTCCCCATATTTCTCCGCATATTTACAGGCCTTATTCCTATTTTGCTAAGATAAGCAACCAAACAGTTACAGGTCAATACTCTCACGCTCCTAACTTTGCAATCATATGCCATTATGTCCTGATAATATTGAAGTCTGATTATGTTGCGAAGAAGTGGAGGCACAACAGCACTAGTTCAACAGTTCCCTTACACCTAGTATGTATGTAAGTATGTATGCGACAGCAAATCCATCGGTGAACCTCATCAAGTTTTGTTGTGGCAGACGGTTCTATGCCAATCATTGGTGTAGACCCGCCACAACACCACAAACTACTCACCAAACCAAAGAAACAGAGGTTAGTAGACTCAAATTCCAAATCGCCTGTTTGAGAAGTTACATTTCTTGCCGTAGGTTATGTCGACAGACGTTTTCCCGTATACATCGAGTACATGATCAGTATATTGAGTTGGATATTAAGCGTACACGACTGTATTTATAGATCTAGGTCGTAGTTGTGTTTATAGTCTTGACCAATTAAGTAGTTAATGGTCCGTTTCTCATTCCATGTACTCGACCTGATGAATCCCAATTAACCAATAAGACACATTTATTTATCATTTGTTCACACAAAGCTCCCACACACAAAATGTAGCACATTTTCGTGGTCAGGTTACTCACATTTACATCTTCCATTCAGTTTCATCATCGACCACGTTTATCATGATAAATTAACTTTTTTAAAATGAACAAATTTTGGATGGGTAACCAAGTGCTCATATTCTCTTATTTCCAACTCCTCACACTTTCACAAAATGATAAAATGTGAGGTAATTCATATTTGTTGTGTTGTTGCAATGGTAGGAGTTCAGAAAACTGAATTGTATGAGATATGAAACGTTGTGAGAAAATTCAGCAACATTCAACTGAGTGCTTGAAATAGTGAATGTTCAGATGTGTGAACTGATAGAGCAACATCTGTAGGAGGACTAGTGTGTGAAAAGTATAAATGAATTCTAATTGGAGAGAGAATGCACACAACCGATACCGATACTAATGAATCAACTTACGTTGCTCGTCCACTGCACTCGTTCTCTGTTTTTCATATATGTTGTGAATGGAGTACTGCAAGTTGTAAATATAGTGGGTTTGTATAGCAAGCCACTGTTTATTCCATCTAAACATAACGATGCCACTCAAATCTTACCACACAGAAATTACAGTATCCTGTATCGAGAATTAATAAACGACGAACAAATGTGTAAGATAGAGTAGACTGAGTGAAGCGCGCTCATGCACCTGTTCGTTCAGCACATATTAAACCTTCGCGATTTCAAAGTGAACAGCTGCAGTGGACAACACATTACATTGATTAGGTTGAAAATTACACGGTCACACATCAAACTAATTTATTTACGTGCTGAAAATCAAGTTTCACTCATTACCAAGACAAACATTAGTTTTATGTTCCGTAACAGATATAGGCCGGGATTATTCTTGCAAAGGTCATATATATTGTTGGATTGCCGTATTATCTAATCATTGTTACAGGCAATATAGATGGTACCTATTGTAGTACCTAAACGGAATTAATTGAAATTTATTCTTAGATATCAACATAATCAGATATTGGTATATTTCCACAACGTTAAAGGAAGACATGATAATCTGTCAGGATCAGTGATTGCTGTGTTCAACTCAGAACTTGCTAGACATCATTTCGTTTATTTGCACTTGTAATTTGTGTATCATGTTCATCATGCTGATTTTAATGTCACTGATGTTGTATTTGCGTTGTAAATTACTAGCTCGAATAAAAAATGTACACATTCAGAATAACGTATATACCCATTTATATACTGACTCATATATGTATGTGCATAAAAATTCACATTTTTCTTTAAACTTGATTGGAAGTTAATTAATAATAATACACATTTATCAACAAAACACCGATAAACCGTAACGACTATATGGACTTAGACAAATTGTTGTGTAGTGTGGCGTCGATCCGCGGTTGACTATGATCACCACTACAGGAAGACTACGTGTCAGTTACTGCGTTAGATCCATTCGTTGGCCAAATATCAGAAGGCAATCGAAGATTGTAGTAAGATGTATTTGTTGGCGATCTCATGGCATCGAAATAATACCGAGATCATGCCAAAGTTTACAAGCGGGTCTAATAAGCCTACGTGAGTCCATGCAACGTTCAAGTCAACGGAAGAATGTGTGCTTTTATATATATATATATATAATTCGTTTTCGGCATTCATGTAAAATGCTAATTACCCTCTCATATGTGGTCTGTTTAAGGGTCTGTGATATGTTTCGCTGTTCATAAATTATGTTAATCAACTGCCCCACGAGGTTTGAACCATTGACCTAGATCGTAGATGCTCACTGCTAAGCAGTCGTATACTAGAACGAAACGATCGTCCAATGCTTCCAAGTTTTTCATGATGATCTCATATCAATTGACTCATGAATTCAACTATACAATTATTAAAATCTTTACAAAAACCCCTTCTGATAATAATTATAATTTAAAGCAATTAGTCCCTTTTCATAAATTTCGATAATGTAATAAGAAGACGGAGATTATCAAAACTATGTGATATATTAGCGCAATACATTTCGAACAATCTGATCACACATATACTTGTTAAGAGCATTTATATATAAAAATAAAAGGTCATCTAGACTGGAAATGGGGTAAGAGAAGATAAGCAATAATAATAATAATAATAATAATAATAATAATAATAATAATAATCTGAACACAATTCAAAACTTAATCACTCCGAATAATAAGTCAATATTACTAGGGTAGGTTTAAAGTAAGAACAAACTGTTTTTGAATACACAAAGGGGGTTTGAATTTTCGTATGGCTAAGGCTTCAATAAACCTTAGTATACGCCCTTTTACACTTTTATACCACAAAAGCCAAGTTTAGATCAATCTTGTGCCTGTTTCAATTATATGTTTAGCAATAGAGGATGATGAATGTTTATCCTCTGCTCTTATTGGGTCACTTGATTGTATTTGTTTTCGCAGCCATAGTTTTGATAATCTCCGTCTTCTTATTACATTATCGAAATTATAATTTACTTTATTCATATTCTATCTTTGTAAACATCTATTTGTAAATGAACTGCTTCTCTACTCATTGTTTCTACCTAGTAACTAACTTGTTTGTTTGTTTGTTTCTTCGTTTTTTTTTTTACAATCAATAATGTTTACGATTGAATTTTCTCAGTGAAAAAATACAAACAAATAAACAAATAAACAAAAGTATTTATATTGTTCATCATAGAAATCATTTATAATTATGAAAGGTAACACCCTAAATTGTTTGTATATAAATATACATATTAATGATTGTTTATAGATTTTACAATTTATATTGATGATGAAGTTCAATGTATTTTATTATTATTTTACAATCATGTTATTGGATTATAGTGTATTATGTAAATATCAATTAATCAAGGAACAAATCAATTTCCATGGAATATATCATCCATTTAAAGATGATAATCATAATTTTAAAGTTTGGAAACAATCATCATTGAAACATGTAAGTCATTATGTAATAAAAATGAATGAAGAAAGAAAAAAAAGATCATTTGTATAACTATTATTTGACAAATAGATTAAATAGGATTAGGGAAACATTTGCTTTCATGAATGCTAATGTAGTGAACAAGAACATCAATAGGGATAATCGAATGTGTCAGATTACAAATTACAGAACTAGTTAGTAAAATCTAACAACCATATCGTAAATGGTCAATTTGCAAAATCTTCATCAATTGTCTTAAAATGACTCAGACTTCCTTTGTTCTTGCATATTCATACAAATTGCGTTCTGTTTTCATTCTTCACTGTTCGATTTTCTTGTCTCTCTGCTGCCAGACATTCTGTTCACGACTAACATCATATACTACTTATGTCTACATGAGTAGCACACACCACATTAATATCTATTTTTGTAATGAGACTTCAGTGATTCAATGATAAAACATCATCATTGATATCAATGTCGAATATTTACTCTTTCATATACACTGCTATAATAAATGTTCACATTATAATTTCAATGGATATTTTGATGTTTGAATAAATGGAGATTGTCAGAATCGAGTAATACGCTGACCATCATACTGTGGGATGTTCTACTTATGTCAACAAAAGTAGTATAAAACGCTAGTCAGGAATAGAATGTTTAACAACAGAAGGTCGAGAAGGAAAGAACGGCAACAGAAAATGTAGAAACAATGAAGTCTGAGACAATTGACTGATATTTTCAAAAGGAACAGTTATGTTTGAGACAAGTGATTAATATTTTGCATATTAAGTATTTCATGTATGTAATTTAATAATTGAATTCATGAGTCGATTGAAGCTAAACGACCATAGAAAACCTCGAAGCACTGGACGACCGTTTCATCCTAGTATGACACTCTTCAGCAGTAGGCACTCACGATCCCACCCCGCGAGATTAGATGGTTCTCAGATTTTACTAACACACTCTGTAATTTTGTGTGTTCAAATATATTTGGTTGTCTTCCACTTATGTTCTCGTTTACTACAATACGTTCCATTATTATTCATAAAAGACACTTTAGAATAGCTAGTTTTAAAAAATCCGTATATACATTCTTTCTTCTAGTTTTATAATGAACAGTAGTGATGATTCAAATTGATTAGGAACTGTATCATTAAAAGCATTCTACTTACCAGATAATTTTCATATTTTCGTCAATCTACTTTATGAAAGAATACTTTCTCATTGTATTATTGACGAAAGTAAAATATATCATGAACTGGAAAGCATTATTTTTCTTTTATGATAGTATATCATGAACATCTATTGTCTTTCAATCGGTTGTAAAGATTCTACAGTAATTTGGATAACTCTCCCGGTCTCCTACATTGTACAAGCATTCCATGTACCCAAATTAATCATTGCTCTAGTTGTCAGAAAGAGTGTCAGCCTCGTGACTTCCGAAGGAACTCGGCTTTCACCATGAAGTATAATAACTATTCTACATGAAGACCTTCTAATTCCCAGGGCAGAGTCTAAATGGTTTGAGTTATTTTTTCTGGTTAGCATTTTTTTAGCGAGTTAGTTTTCTACGGGTTGGGATCGCTAACAATATGCCCAAACCTTCTCCTTTATTCGGACTGGGGACCGGCAGTAGCCCAAGAAGAGCTTCAGCTGGAGTTTTGTAAAGATCCAGTCATATAAATATTGATGTAGTTGACACTTCAGGGGAAGTAATCGATTCAATTAACGATAAACATTCTGAATAAGTTGATGCAAAACCAACATAAGTTTGTGAATAATTCACATACTACATGGTTTTCATTAAACTCAAACGTACATCTCATTGTCTATATAAATCAGTATGTTATCAGCCTGAGCGAATGTGATATAAATGTATTAGTCGTATTAAGTGGGAATAGATTGTGAAATCATTGCATTAAGATATTTCTTACATACTTTTATATTTCTCATCCCCTCCTGATGAAAATAATTAATTTTAAGACGGTCGGGAAATATCATGGAATGATCAAAGTTAGGCTTGTATATCACTGAGTTTCGACTCCGTAATTGATAGGTTACATGTTTAAGCGCGTGACCGAAATTCGTCGGTTCCATTCTCGGTTGTGGATGAGCAGTATTGATGGATCTCACACTAGAACGAACGGATCATCCAGTGATTTTAGGCCTTCAAAAGGATTTATTAACCCCGATCAGTCCATAATTTCAATGAAATTTAACAATCTTTATGTCATTTTAAGAAAATTTGTATATGTAGAATTGTTAGTAGAAGATTGTCAGCAGTCGGCTTGAAATAACTAAATTTTAGATTATCGATCCAGTTTTCCATCAGTAAGCGTACTATACGTGACGTTTTTCAAATTTTGGTCATTTTATTAGAAACTGATTTGTGCATTTCTATAGACCCCAAAGAATTGAATGTAAGCGTTTACAATACTAGTTTCCCAGCCAAATACTCTGCTTCATTTGTATATCGATTTAATCTCGAAACAATGTGGTCAGTATTTCGACTAAACGATGTACATTCATCCGATGGACACAAGATTTAATTAGAGAAAATGGTTAAGGAAGATTGACAAAGCTTGTTAATAACTTTGTTTTATTGTGTCAATTAATTTATATATTAGTAATTCACTAGTTCTGATATTGTCAGTTATGTTGATGTTTATGTTATATTCCAATGAGAATAATGAGTGGTAACTGTTAGGATCTATTTCTGGACTATTACTATACTTATATTTTAATCGTATAATTGTTAAATCATTGCACTATTCATATTCGTGTTCCTATTATCATACGCTTTATATAGACCTATGGACGGTTATTATACGATTTACCATTCTTGAGTTATACTCAGTCTATTAATTACTACCTCTCACATTCACAGTCACTTTTGGTCAGATGTTGTACAAAGGTTGTTTCCTACTTTATGGTACAGGGTGGTCTGTCTGGTTGGTATATAAACCGTGTATGTTTGAAATACCTGATTCATATCACAGAGGCTGAGATTGATGTTCTGGACTTAACAGGTTGGGTTAGGCAGGAAGCAGGATCAATAAGGACTGTAGACTGCTCATCCTTGTCTTACACATCATCGGTCCGGTCAATAATTCACTGTTCTCTAATCGGCGATATCATTACGTTATATATTAATAGGGGAAAAGGGCACAGGGCACAAGTTATAACAGTTTACTTATATTTAAACTTAACCAAAAATATTCAATAAGTTAGTAAACTAATATTTTAATTCTATTTTGTAGAAATGGCATAATACATTACAACAATATATGAAATATTATGTAAAACAATGTAATCCAAGTATTACTATAACAAGACCATATTTCAATAATACACTAAATGTAAAGATTTCTAACAATAAAGATATTCAAAGGTATGATCACATTGAACAAATAACATTATCACTATCATATTATTTTTTATTTCAGTATATTTAAAGTATGGTCAACTAAATCTAATCCTTATAATTGTGTTGTTTATGATTGTTTATCCTATAAACAGGTAAATGATATATATATATATATATCTTATTTATAAATCTTTAATAATATAATGGGGGTAATGAATTGATCGGTTTAATTTGCTTTCCTTTCAAAGTGAATATTCACAACTGTGTAGATAGGCTTATAATTCAAAGGTGATGCATCGAGTGATATGCTAAAAGTTAAGTTAAACAGATCAATTCAAAGGGGTTTTTTTTTAATGCGGGACCAATAATCAATAAGAGATTGAAAGATAAATTACCTAGACTAGCCAGCTCTTTCTGTATTGATCAATTCAACTGCTCCTATGAAACAAGTTATATTGGCAGATGTTTTAGGAATTTTTACATTCGGTCTCGTGAGCATCTCCCCGTGTGGTTAATCAAAGGTGTAGTGAAAACAGCTCCATTTTAGACCATTTAGTTTAGACAGGACATACAGTCAACATGGAGTAATCTTTTGCAATAATCTATTGTGTTAAAAGCAGTCTACTTAATTCTGTCAAACTGCGAATCCTACAGTCGGCTGAAGCAATTGCTATTCGGATAAAAAAAAACCCAGAGCTCTGCATCACAAAAGAAGCATGTTCAGACACTCCTTTTACCCTAGCCAACTAGTTAATAATCAATTATATAATATGGCGATGTAATTTGATTAATCTTCATTTTATGTCCCAAACTTATTATTATTATTATTATTATTATTATTATTACACTTGATAACATTTTTGGAGGAACTTATTCAGCATCCACCCCTATCTACTATATCTAACCAAATTCATATTATTCTACATATTACGTAATTTCGGATTTGTATTGCATTATTCCCTTTCTCTCCCTCTCTCACCCTATGTTGACCATATTTATTCTGATCATTGTTTATCTCACAATTTCATTTCACTTATAAACTGGTCCAAGTTAACAACTTCAGATGGGTCAGCCCCCACCCCGACATGAACGATTTGATTTGATTTGTTCTATGACAAACAACAATCCTCAATTCACATGTACTTTGCCTTAAATCTGGCTATTTCTATGAATTATTCATTTAGATATGAAATAAGTATAGAGTACCTGATAAGAAATTCATTAAAATGAATATTTTTTATTAAACGAATTATACCCATTAAGACATGAAATAAGAAAGATTAGTTCAGTGAAAAGAGTTGTCACCCATCAATAAAATTCACACTTGAATTTGAAAACGAACAAAATATTCACTTTCTTGATGTGGAAATGACGAGAAAACAAGACGGTACTTTGAAATGATCTATCTACAGGAAACCCATTTGGAATGGCCAAAAATCAATTTTCCACAGTTGGATTCTCATCAGCCGAAGAAACTTAATAATAACACTCGCTACAAGAATACGAAGAACTTGTAGCCCCGAAGTCTTAGATGAAGAATTGGGCCTTTTGAAGGAGATACTTATCAAAAACGGATATCCTTCGATATTCATTGATAAGAACATGAGACCGAAAACGCAAATAATTACAGTAGAAAAAAATACTCTATACATGAACATCGACTTCAAAGATGATAGAGCCACATATATCTTAAAGAAGAGAATTTCGGATTCCTTAAAAAGAACATTCTTTGCAGCAACATTGCGAATAGTATTCTCCAGCCGATCATTGTTCACCAATAATCTGAAGGATAAATTATCACATCTGACCAACTCAATGTGCATTTACCAATTTACCTGCACATGTGCAGCTAGGTATATAGGTCGTTCGATGCGTACTTTATCCAAAAGAATTCAAGAACATTGTCCGGCGTGGCTAAAAAGAGAAGGCAACGCCTCAATAAGAAGTTCAATAATCGAACACCTTGTGAACGCAGGTCACTCAATCAAGACAGACTCTGTGTTCAAAGTCATCCACAAGGTATGTAGAAGTCTTCCCAAGGCAATTAGACTGCATCTTTTTTTCATTGCCGAAGCGCTAACCATATATATGGAAAAACCAGAATTGTGCGTGCAAAAGAGACTGGTACAACCTCTTTTTCTACCATGTTCTTAATGTACTAAAATTTTTCTCTTGTTCCTTTACAGCCATCTGCTTCACCTTCCATCTTCCCCTTAAATCCTCTACCCTTGACTGGTTTATTTCGTTTCCACGATCGTTTTGATTACATTTCATCTCTATTTCAACACTTTATCTTATCATGCTGAACCATCCTTTCGCAATGATGATTCCCCTGTCTATCCTTTGATGAATACTTAAGCCATTAACAATCAAACGATTATTAAATTTTCCTTGTTTTTTAAAAGAATTTTTTTAATACCTCACTGTCACGAATGTCTAACAGAAGTTTATTATCAGTATTATTATCATTGTGTAAGGATAAGTATAGACATAGATATTTGTGATTGTACAACTTTAGAAAATGAATTCACTGTAATGGGGAGAACTCTTTTCACTGAACTAATCTTTCTTATGAAATGAATATTTCTCATTGATATAATGAGAATTTTTCAGTGATGATAATAAAATGGAATAGACATTAGATCATTAATAAGTTAATCGGTTACATAAATGATGCTCTTTTAAAATCAATCTCCGAGTATTCCCGTACATATCTATTGAATGATCAATATGAAACAATCAACAGCTTTATTCATCAATATCCATATAGCCATCAGATATTTCTTATAAAACTATTTGATCAAGTGTGTATAGACGATATTCTAATCCGAAATGTTGACATAATACGGACGACTTTAGTTATTTAACAATTCATTCCTTATCTATAAGTTAAATCGTCATATATATATATATATACGCGAGGAGCAGGATCGTGGATGCGCACTGCTGAGCTGTCCATACTAGGACGAAACGGCCGTCCAGTGCTTCCAGGTTTTCCATGGTGGTCTAGCTTCAATGGATTCATGATTTCAACCAGTGAAATTCCTAAAATCTCCACACAATCCCTTCTGATATATACGAATTATCATTACATATTAATTCAAATCACTCATCTAGTGATAAGACGACCTTTGAACGTCGTTAATCTGACCTTAAGAGTGTCTACCTATTTATTAGGACTCAATGAGGGTTATAAAGCAGTTTTAAAGCACAACGATTATGATTTACAGTTGATGGTTATGGGTTAGGAATTAGATTTAGAGTTTTCATTATGAACTGATATTAGCTATAATGCCAAATGAATGAATGCATTTCACGCTAAAATCTAAGATCTGCTATGGTAAATCTGATTGATTCATCCATAAATTATAGTTTCACTCATTTATCTTTCGATACTTTAACATATATAATCCATTTTCACTTCACTGTTGTGTATTTAACTTGGAATTATTCAGTCAATTATGTTCATGTTATAACTTGTGAACCTGTGTGGCCTGTTTATTGTATAACATTACGATACCGCCAATTAGAGAGCAGTGACTTATCGATCGACTTCGCAGATGATCTGGCTCTTCTATCGCATACGCAACAACAAATGCAGGAGAAGACAACCAGTGTAGCTGCAGCCTCAGCAGCAATAGGTCTCAATATACACAAAGGGAAAAGCAAGATTCTTCGATACAACACAGCATGTAACAATCCAATCACAATTGACGGAGAAGCTTTGGAAGATGTAAAAACCTTTACATATTTGGGCAGTATCATCGATGAACACGGTGGATCTGATGCAGATGTGAAGGCACGGATTAACAAAGCAAGAGCAGCATATCTACAACTGAAGAATATCTGGAACTCAAAACAATTAGCAACCAACACCAAAGTCAGAATTTTCAATACAAATGTCAAGACAGTTCTACTGTATGGCGCGGAAACCTGGAAAACTACGAAATCCATCGTCCAAAAGATACAGGTGTTTATTAACAGTTGTCTACGCAAAATACTTCAGATCCGCTGGCCGAACACTATAAGCAACAACCTACTGTGGGAGAGAACAAATCAGATCCCAGTGGAGGAAGAAATCAGGAAGAAGCGCTGGAAATGGATAGGACACACATTGAGGAAAACACCCAACTGCGTCACAAGACAAGCCCTCATATAGAATCCTCAAGGTCGAAGGAAGAGAGGAAGACCAAAGAATATATTACGCCGGAAAATGGAGATAGATATGCGAAAAATGAACAAGAATTGGATGGAACTAGAAAAGAAGGCCCAGGACAGAGTGGGTTGGAGAATACTGGTCGGCGGCCTATGCTCCATTGGGAGTAACAGGCGTAAGTAAGACTTACCGATCAGATCAATGACGCATAAACCCATATGAGCAGTCTAGAGACCTTATTAGTCCCGCTTCCTGTCTAGCCCAGCCAGTTAAGTCTAGAACATCAATCCAAGCCACTGACATATGAATGATTTAGTTGCATAACAGTTACACAATAAAAATATACGTATAGTAATAGTCCATAATGGATCCGAAAAGTTACCAGTCATTATGCTTATCGGAACCTAACTGTTTATTTATCGAAATTTTATTTAATTTATATTCATGTTATATTGTTTATAATTTAAAGTTATTTCTACAATAATATTGTACTTTCAGTTAGTTACTCATGATACTAGAAATATTGCTTGTTCAATTGGTGATTGTAAGAAGCAAACTAATTCAGGCAATATTATACTATGTTACTATTTACCAGTGTAAGTTAATAAAGATTTTTTTTTGGGGGGGGGTATGATGATTATTGTTTAATGTATTATTATTATTATTAATGGAATTATTCAATATGATTTATAATATAGAATCCTCAGCACAGTTAGTTTTCCACGCTTACACGTATGGGACGTTAATATACCTTAAACGAATATCTACATTAGATTCCCTTCCAGTGTCTATTCTACAGGACTTCAATACAACTTAAATCAAGAATATGTGATTAGTTTGACTAGAACGTAAATATATATTTCCATACCAAAAATCCGACACAATTCAACAACAATAAACAATCAATAATAAGGATAGGGGAATATATAACTCATCTAACATCTGTCAGACTATCTACCTGTCTGACTAAGCAAATAACTAATCATTATCATGCTGGCCCATAAATTAGTTTCTTTCACAAAAAAATAAAAGAAAAAGGTGAAAAATAAAGATCTGAATCTGTACAACTTCCCAAATTAGGGGCGTGTTAAAGTATACAGGTCATTGATTAGGTCGACTCTAACAACTTGTTCGTCATAGAGTATATTTGCTAGATAAGGTATGATAGAACTTTTATACCTTTGCTTGTATGCATGGGTTCTAATGTATTTATGTTTCATTGTACCAGAAGATATACAAGGAGAAAGATATGAGTGAAGGAGATAGTTAGTATCTGATAAGATAACATCTACCAGGAGTTTGCATGACTTTAGATGTTTATCCAAAATCATATTAATTATAACCTCAAAAGACTCACCATACAACTTGCTAACTGCTTCCAGCACTCTCCACAGTACAGAAAAGTCTATTTTCAAAAGCCCGGGAAAGAATAATGGAGAACAGTAAAGAATAGTAGGTAATATGCAAGAATTGATAAATCGTAAATGTCGAATAAAGCCAAAAACACGCAGCCTCTTTATGTAGTAAGTCAAAAGGAAAACTTTCTTCAATAGCAGTAAGACATGAGAAGATCAAGAGAGATCATAGGGAAAGGTAACATTAGGATAATTGACCTTCGAAACTGTGCTTATCAAAAAGTCTCCAATGACACAAGCATTATGGGATCCCAAAATGCTGTTTAGGTACTCTTCATGTTTCAGGCTAAAGTTAACAGCTTGACATTAAGTATGAGACCAATAACAAGAGATCACGATTCAATACGAAACAAAAACTCATTCATTTCTACAGAATGTAAGGAGGTAGAAATAGGTATACATACAGTGAGATTGTCCGCATATTTCACAAAAATATTTTCTGTGAAAGATGGCAGATCATGCAGAAAAAAAGAGGTAAAATAACAGCTCATTGTGACAGAGAGGTTTGAACATAACCAGATGGTTATCCAGCTGTTAGTGTTAACGCTGAATAACTCGTTAAGTAAAAATTGCATTGGAATAGAATCAAAAGCAGACGTACAGCCCAGAAAAGCGTATTGAACATACTTCTTAACCTTTTTCCAAGCTAAACACTATATTGTGATGCACAACAGCAACAGTATCTAAGGTGCTTCTTTTGCATTTGTAAGGAAACTGATACAGATCAATGTGCTTTTTTTAGTACAGGTTAAAGTGAGAGTATCAATACATTTTCCATTGTTTTAAGGAAAGGTGAAGTTATTGTTATGGGTTTAAATTTCACATTCTTATTGTCAGATAATTCCTTACGTATACGGATTATCTTTATCTTTCTTTTTAATTATCATTAATTCAATTAGGAAAGTGTTTTGATATGTGTAATCTCATACAAATTAGTTAGAATGATTGAAGTTTTAAGGTGTATGGGAAATAATCAGTTGAGTATTAAATGAGTAAATGTGATGAGACTATAATTTATGTACGTACCAATCACGTATAAGATAACAGGTTTCGGATTTGGGCGCGCGAAATTCACTCATCCATTCAGATAAATAGAGTTTTGGTATTATATCCGATGCTAGTTCGTGATGAAAACCCTATATCTGATTTCTAACCTTAACCATCAACTGTAAATATTAATCCTAATTCCTCACATTGGTTTATAACCGTTATAAGTCAGCCACGTTGTTACTGACTGACTGACTTATAACCGTCATTTAGTCGTAGTATGTAGATGGATATTCTCAAGGTTTCTATAGTGTCGCTCAAATGTTGTCCATAAATTATAGTCTCACCCGAAGATCTTATATCTAGTGACTACATGATTTTGCCATTTATATTCATTAAAGTTGTACTTAGACAATTCTTGGTGTAATGGTTCTAATAATTTCTAATTAGGACGCTTTTATGAAAATGTACCACGTTCAGTTAGAATCCACTGAATTAAACATACTGTTAAATCTATCGAAACGTCCATATCATCCAATGGAGATCCTCGTAAAACCAAAATTCACAAATCAACGGTTTGTCTAAAATAGCGCTTCTTCATTAAATTATATACAAAAATTAGTTACAAACATCAATTTGTGAGGTGTCTGTGGCGTTTACGACGTCCTTTTATATGAAATAAAAAAAATTTGATAATGCAAGAATGACAGCCGTTAGATGTGTCTAAACTTGATAACGGTTTATCAACAAGCAAAAATTGAACTAAGAGAGAGAGAGAGCAATATGAAAACAGTTGAGTTTAAACAAAGTTTAAACGATTGCACAAAATTGAGAATAACTGTTACAATGATTGAGGGGAAGTAATCATAATGATAAATACAATAAATGTTATAAGTATGTGTAAATATATCAGAATATAACACGATAAACTTGCTTTACAACATACGCGTAGAAATTGCTAGGAATACAATTATTTACTAAATATTTATAAGTAGTATAAAACTATACACAAAAGAGTCGAATGGGAAGTGAATAAGGATAGAGAACGTAAAACAGACTTAACAAGCACACTGAGATATATGACGAACTCACAACAACTGACAATAACAAACATATTGATCTACTGCTATCACTGATTCAAATTAACCGTCACAATACGAATAATTAAACAGAACAACAAAACACTCAGAAGAAATTACTAGGCTAGAGATCATATCAACTTTAGAAACAGAATAAATCAATATGACACTTTGAATGTGGATCGTTTCAGTTTAATTATTCACTCACATTGAACTTAAACGACTTATCAAACTAATCTAGTTATTCAACTAGTTGGTTGGACAGCAGAAATTCTAAATTAATGACAACAGCAGCAATCCAGTTAATAAAATCTCAACACAATTTAGTACTTCACTGAGTAAGCATTCGAACTGTTAAAGGTCAAAATAATACAGTGTAGGTGGAATAATTTTATTGTGACATGGTAGTTGGCAGACAATCTTTACAATGATCTAATGTTCTTATTGTCTTCTTTTCAAGATACGTTTATATCTTTCTGTTACAGAGTAAGTGTGAACAATCGACCAGATAAAGCCTATGAAGATGAATCAAATACAAATTCTTATCCTGTAACAACTGAAGTTCCTCCAGAAACTACTTCTTATATGCTCGATCATGGACGATGTGAATGTATTTGTTAGTAGGAATCGGTCGACAAAGAATGAATGAATTTTCAAATAAAATCACAAATGTTCAATGTAAAGACTTAATTTGATTTGTTTTAATTTTACGATAATATAATGAAGTTTGGTTGCAGATTCAGTGCACACACACACACACACATAAAAACTGTGTGTGTGTGTATGGAGTAAAAAAAGCATGTAACGGCTTGCTTGCATTAAGACTACATAATCTATGTGTATCTTGTCATATTTGTCTTCAGTGTTTATCCACGACAATACATAGCACTAATTATAATGCAGTACATTAATTTCGAAATGAATATCAAAAAGCATAACCGCTATGAATGGATAATCAGCGATCACCAACGTAGAATCTTACACATATGTGTGTTAATTTGTTTGACATACCATATTTCCCATCTTTGCCTAGAATCTTAGGTCTAGCCTTACCATTGCATATCTGGTGGTTCCAGGAAAATTTAGCAGTGCTTCGATATCATGAATGACCAAAAACACTCAGCCTAAGCATATCTCCAGCTTTCAACGACTGCGTTTCACACTTATTATATGTTAGAGAGTGGGTTGTTGAACAATATACTCATCTTTTAGCTGATAAACAAGTATCTTGCTTACATTACAAGTGACGTAGGTTGGCAAACACTAATCGAGGTTATTGTATTCGCGTAGAAAATGTCACCGCAAACCATCCCATCAGGGTTGATTGGAAAAATATTTACTTCGATTGTTACTAAGATTCTCGAAGGTCAACTACCGACCCTTTTTGAATACAAACATCAAGTTTAAACCTTCTAATTACTATGGCTTCTGTTCATTTGAATAAAGAAGAGTTAGTTGAATGGACTCTCTATATCTATTTTGTCTCAAATGGATCGATTAAACCCTGAAATTATTGTCATTTTATTTAATGTTGCGATATTTAGGAATATGGCATAATAGAATTCGTCACATTTAGTACACGAATATTGTGATTAAAATCACATTGCAATGATGCTTTTATGTTGTTGAAAAAACTCATGGTTTTCTAACTATTCAATAAACAATTATAATTAACCAACATTTTATTTCTGAAAGGTATCCCAAATGCCGAGGGTGGAGAGTCTGCTCTCCCTTTCAAAATGCACTCACATAGCCGAGTGCATACAACCGCTGCCAGGGAAGTCATACTCGTTGCATTCTTGCGGTGAGGGTGTTGCTTACAAAATTGAGAGGGCAAAAAGCTAATATCCGGTGCTTCAACCGGGATGATGGATACGGATGGTTCACCTAGCGGAGTTGGAAAACCCTGATTCCAAACCAGTGGTGCACATGGACTCCAGGATCCTGAAGGGACAAATGGAGTATAAACCAATTGTTAGTCACCGGTTACTATCGGACTGCATCTCCTAACGTGGATTAGACCTTGAGGTCGAAGGCTCGGGATGTGGCTCCCTAAGAAAATCACCTGCTTCTGTCTGGGCACCCGTGTAGTATCACAGCCCACACACAAATCAAGTGACTTGTGTGACGCATATGTATTCAGTGCCCCTTTGTACCAAATAATAATAATAATCTCAATAGTTGTGAAGAGGAACAACTTAATTTTATCTTTACTATTCAAGATAAAAATGTCGATTATATATGAATCATGATGAACTACATGTACAATTTGTCCCATATGTATAATCACATCTAAATATAAAAAACATTCGATAGTTTGATGTAAATACTCGACTAACTTCAATTATCTTACAAACTGAAAATTTGATAACAACAGTAACAATGTTATTAATATGTGATGGAAAGGAAAGTAATGATTGGTTATTCAGCTAGTCCCCCTAGTAGATAGTGTAACATGTATTAGATATGTGATATCATTGTTATATCCTAACGAAGAATAAATGAATGACAACTGCTAGGACTTATTTATGGGCTGTTATTATACATATATTCTAATTGCATGACTATTAAGTCATTAAATTGTATACAATCATAATGCTCTTATTATAAGTTTTCATTTTATATATTGGCTGTTAATATACGAATTAGCATTCTTAAGTCATTCCCAATTTATTAGTTATAGTCTCCCACTCTTATTGTCACTTTTGGTCTGATCTTATATAATTGTTATTCTCTATTTTATGGTATGATTTGCTTGTGTATAAACTGCATATGTATGGAATACAGGTTTCATACAGTAAGCTGAGATTGTGTTCTGAACTCAACGGGAAGGGCTAGGCGAGGAGAACTAATGGGTACTCAGTGTTCAACACAGGCTGCCCGTGTCGGTAAATGTGTCATCGGTTTGGCATAGGACAATGGCCGTATATGTTGATGTTCTGATTGGTGATTTTTGTCACGTGATAATTGGCAGGGCAAAAGACAGCATACATTCTCCTACCTTTATTATTAATGACCGCTTCTGCTACATTGACGTGGTGGTCGGGCTTGCCTATCAAGATCAACCAGTCGGGTTGTACTGGCTGAAAAAACCGTTCCTCAAGGTCCTACCGTGTCAGGAAGGTAGGTTGAAAGACAGTGGAACTGAAAGCAACAAACCGAAGGTGGAAGTCGTACTGCAGACTGAGCAGAGGTGTGATGACATTAAGGTGTTTCCCATGGCGGACAATCTTGACTGGTGTTGGGGATGGTTGGAAGAATGTTAGGGGTGGCCAAACCAAAACGTGGCATCAGTGCTTGAAGACACTAACTTTTAGTCTGGTCCATGTTGGTAGATGCAGACTACTCGGTTGGGGTTCGTGTGATTATCGTAACCAATGGTTGGAGACTGGGTGAAATGGCTCAGAATCGATCACAATGGCGTCGGTGTATACACTCTGTCTTCCCTTAAACTAGGAGATTAAAATCATTACACACCTTTCTTTCTACGAACTAATTCTTTCTTCCTATATTATATCCTTATACGCAATCTTTCCTTAATATATTACTACCATTGAAGTAACTGCCTCTATGAATTCGGTGTTCATCTTGTTGTACTAATAAGGCATGGCAACTTGGACCGATGAATATATGTGACTGGTCTCAAGTTGTAGACGACTAACCTTTATTATTATTATTGAATGTTGACATGTGGATGTACTCACGTCCTAGTGAGGCCAGTCATGTGTTCACCATTTGAGTTGTGTTGAAGTCCTGTAGAATAAACTCTGCAAGTGTATTCGTCTAAGACAAATTAGTGTTCCGTTAGTGTAAGGAAGAAAACCGAATATAATTTCACATACATCAATCGAATAAACATCTAAATTTTTGTACGATTTCATTATTCATTATCCAGTTGAAATAGATACATATTGATAATATTCATTCATATATGATTAATCAATATCGAATTAGACTTAACACCTATAGAACATCATAACCCTTGTAGTGTAAAGAAGAGACAATAATTGTTTGTACTTTATTTTTATTTACAGCTTATTATCACCGTTTCTCTAATAATATAATAATATTAGATAGTGTATCAACAGAAGGTTCAGTCAGTAACAATGTAGAACTTCGTACGTACATACATCAGTTCTAGTTGTCATAAAACATTAGCACAGAGATACAGTTGTCGATTCAAATGTCGTAGTGGTACAGGTAGTATTTATTTATTTATTTATTTGAACACATAAATATTGGTACAGAGGGGCACCAAATATATATGCGCCACACAAAACAATGATAATTTGAAGAGAAGGAGAAAAGAGAAAAAAAAAGTAATGAACGTGGGGAATTATAAAAAAAAAAAGGGAGAGAGAGAGAACAATGGTGGGGGAAACGGAAAGGTACAATCAGAAGAGATCTTTCAGTTAAGGAAGATACAACCACTTTTTATGAAGAAAGTAAAAGAAGGTTACAGCAGCATCGCCACTGGCTTCTATTCTTAGCCATATCTGATAACGTCTCTAGCCACTGCGTTACACCGTCTCTAGGACCCCAACCAGGGAGTCGTGAAGGACCAACAGAAGCTAGCCCTTTGCAGCTTTCTTTCATACCACGACACCATGTCATATACTGACCACCTCTCCGCTTTTTCCAACCAGTCCCAGAGTCGGCAAATAATGCACGACGTGGAATTCTCTGGGACGACATTCGTAGAACATGTCCAAGCCACCGAAGTCGGTGTTTCAAGATGGTGACACCAATTTCATTATCGTTTCTGTGACCGAACACTCGATGCCGAACCTCTGCATTACTGACATGGTGTTGCCACTGGATGCCAGCAATCCTTCGGAGACAACGATGATCGAACACAGAGAGTCGTCTAACATCCTCAACTCGGAGAGGCCAGGTTTCACAAGCATAGAGCAAAACTGCTCTCACCGTCGCGTTGTAGATCCGACCTTTTACAGCCAGACTAACATCACGAAGGCGCCAAAGGTGGCCCAGATTGGCATAAGCCGCTCTGGCTTTCACTATACGAGCATTGATCTCATCACTCACACCACCACCAGCACTTATGCAGCTACCTAGATACACGAACTTCTCAACTACTTCAATCTGCTCACCATCCAGAGTGAGTACAGGATTAGAATCCTGCCAGTCTTGTAGAAGTACTTTGCACTTCGAGGGTGCAAAGCACATACCATACCTACGGACATTGATTGCCAACTGATTAAGTGCGGATTGCATAGCTTGGGCATTCTCGCACAGTAAGACAATATCATCCGCATACTCAAGGTCGAGAAGTCTTTCTCCAGGCAACAGATCCACACCACCATTACTTACATCCGTCAGAGCTGTTTCCAGAATGTCATCGATGGCAAAGTTGAAGAGGAATGGTGAGATTGGGCAACTCTGCCTAACCCCACTGCTTGAATGGAATAACGGAGAAAGGTGGTTGTATGCCCTCACTCTGCCTGAGGTGTTTGTGTATAGGGCTTTTAGGATGTTAATAAACTTCTCAGGCACACCCTTCTTCAATAGACAATCCCAGAGAACAGTTCTGTCCAACGAATCGAAGGCAGCCCTGATATCAAGAAACACTACGATTGTTGGCCTTTGATAAGTATGGCGGT